TACCAAACGACTCACGGACCGGTACCGGTCCGAGGCCCGGGGGTTGGGGACCGCTGCTGTAAGGTAGAGAAACTCTGACAATCATATGACCCCCTATGATCAAGCACTTTGGCGACAGTGGGAAAGAAAAACTCCCTTTTAACAGGAAGAAACCTGCAGGTGGTGTAGTTGTCCATTGCTGCTGTTTCTAAAATAACGTTTTGTGGATGTGCATATACGGTGCATTGTCTTGCATGACAGCACGTGCCATAGAAGCAGTAGGATGTTTATACTTTCTTATCATTGAACACTGATATCAACTATCCTTTTGTTTTTTTGAATGTGCAGGATTTTGGCCGTGTGCCACGGTGTGATGTACAAGCAGCTGGCAGCTTGGATGCTGCACGGACTGCTGCTGGACCAAAGCGAGGAGTTTTTTGTGAAGCAGGGTCCCAGTGCTGGAGGAGCTGCTGCCAACCAAGAGGAGGAAGAAGAAGACCTGGGACTCGGAGGCTTGAGCGGGAAGCAGCTCCGAGAATTACAGGACCTGGTGAGTGGCGCGCACGGACGTGCATCCAGCGCTGAACTGCGAGTGTCTGTTAATGTCGGCGTGTGCTGTTGTGCAGAGGCTCATCGAGGAGGAGAACATGCTGGCTCCATCTCTGCAGCAGTTCTCCCTGCGCACAGAGATGCTGCCTTCTTACATCCCCATCCGAGTGGCCGAGAAAATCCTCTTTGTGGGAGAATCTGTCCAGATGTTTGAAAACCACAACCACAGCCCATCCAGAGCTGGTACTGGGAGCTTCTGTTGTAACCTATTGGAGTGGGACCTCTTCTTTTTGTGTGTCTGGAACAACCCAACATGTTTCCTTTGTATTTTCAGGCTCTATTCTGAAACACCAGGAAGACATGTTTGCTGCTGAGCTGCATCGACTCAAACAGCAGACGCTTTTCAGCCTGGTGGATTTTGAGAATTTGATCGATCGCATAAGGAGCACAGTGGCAGAGGTGAGCTCAGGGACAGCATCACTTTTAGCATTAAAGAAGGAAAACAAGCGAGCTGCTTTTACAAAGCCCTCATGCTGTCTTACTGATTTGCAGCACCTCTGGACTCTAATGGTGGAAGAGGCGGATCTGCTTGAGCAGCTCAAGGTTTGTCCTCATCGCCCTTGGTTCTGCATCATAAATCAGCGTGAAATGAACCGTGCTGATGTTTGTTTTCTTTGTTCCCAGATCATTAAGGACTTCTACCTCCTGGGTCGCGGAGAGCTCTACCAGGTTTTTATTGACCTGGCGCAGCACATGCTGAAGACTCCTCCGACGGCTGTCACCGAGCACGGTAAATATTCTCAAACAGCTTCCCCTCTCTGCTTATTTGTTCACAGGTAAGTTACACAGTTAAACACAGTATGCAGCTGTTTGTCATGATGTGTTCACGTCATTCGTGCCGGGCTGCATGCCAAAGAAAAAGAAGAAACAAAACATTTGCAAGAAACAGACACATGACTTGAAATGTGTGCAGGTTCTGTGTCTCTGTTCATAAAGCAGCATTAAGGTAAAAGCGCACTCAAGGTCAAAGCTCTTGCAGCGTCATATCATGTGATTTCTTTTGCACAGATGTAAACGTAGCCTTCCAGCAGGCAGCTCATAAGGTGCTGCTGGACGATGACAACCTCCTGCCTCTGCTGCACCTCACCGTGGACTACCAGGGCAAAGACGGCAAAGGTGGGCTCGCTGGGTCACAGTGCAACCTTTGTTTAGGAGCCCCACTCAGCCTGTGGCGGGTGGCGCCCTCTGCTGGCCTAAACTGTTTTTTCCAAATGAAGCCTTCATGCTTTGTCATCAGGTTAAAGCCGTATGTCTACAGCTGCATCATCTGTCCAGTGTTTCATTACAGTTAATACAAAGAATTCACACTGTTACACAGCTACTGTGTTTACTGATCAGATGTCAGATGTTATGGTGTACAGGACAACGTCTATATTTTGGCCTATTTTTGAAGTCATAGCAGAATAAACAGAAACGTGGATCACAGAGTGAATGAAACACAGAAGTACAAAGTTCTTGTTTCACTGAAGGTTCGATATCCCAGCTTTTGGGGCTAAAACACTCCCACAAAGGGAAAACCAGCATCCTGCCCTGCAGATGCATTTCAGATACAACATTCCTATTGTTGTGATTGAGGCCAGTGTGAAGACGAAGTTTGGAGAACTTTGATTAAAATAGGAGAGGTTCTTTTTAGATACCTACATTCAAACCGTCAACATGTCATCACAGTCATCCCTAAATGTAAGTTCATATAGGCTGAGAGAGAGCTGTTAGTCATTCCAGTATAAAAGCATGTAAAAGGAACAATTACAGTCATTTATTTTATTTTAAATATCAGAGTCGGTGTTAAGAGACTGTTAACAGGACTAATCTACATACAAACAAGTCTGAAAGGTATTTATTTATTTATGAAGCACTTAAATCAAACGCTACATGTCAGATGTGTGCTTCGCCACACCATAAACTGCAGACTTCAGGTTTTAAACCCTCCCCCACACACACTCTTACAGACAGTATTCACCTGGTGTACTTACACCTGTTATCTCGAGCTGATGGTTGGTTACTGTGCCTGCTTTCTCAGATGCGTCACTCCCCAGAGAAGGAGCCACTCCTCCACAAGACACTTCCCCTCGCGAGGTTCCTCCCACAGGCTGGGCAGCCCTCGGTCTCACCTACAAGGTCCAGTGGCCGCTGCACATCCTCTTCACTCCCGCTGTGCTGGAGAAGTGCGTGTTTGCACCCCTTACTGCAGCTTTGATGTGTTTAGTCCCAGTGCATCCAGTCACCGTCCTCTCCTCGTGTGTGTGGTCAGGTACAATGTTGTGTTCAGGTACCTGCTGAGCGTGAGGCGGGTGCAGTCACAGCTGCAGCACTGCTGGGCTCTGCAGATGCAGAGGAAACACCTGAAGTCGAGCCAGACGGACGCTGTGAAGTGGAGGCTTCGCAACCACATGGCCTTCTTGATCGACAACTTGCAGTATTATTTGCAGGTAACAATGCAGCCGAGAATTTTGAACTACCAGCGCACAAGATTATCATTTAATGACCTTTGCACGAGGTTTTAGGTGCCATCAAAGACTTTCCAGCTCAGGGTCTGAGAGATTTAACCAGTTCTCCCATATCCTACTTAAAAATTGACTGGTGGCTAAATTAAATGACATTTCCAAGTCTGATGCAATCAGTCTCCATTCCAACTCAAGCCGATGTTAAAAACCATCATAGGAATAATAACTCAAGGAAAAAAGAGTCACGTGCTGTTTGAATAATTTAAACTGCAGGTGGATGTGCTGGAGTCTCAGTTCTCTCAGCTGCTTCAGCAGATCAACTCCACCAGAGACTTCGAGAGCATCCGACTGGCCCACGATCATTTCCTCAGTAACCTGCTGGCCCAGTCCTTCATCCTCCTGAAGCCGGTATGAGACGCCAAACAAAAATGATGCTCAGCTGCTACATTTCACCCTCCTTACCTGAGGCCGCTCTGCTCACCTACTCTCACCTTCAGGTGTTTCACTGCCTCAACGAGATCCTCGAGCTGTGCCATAACTTCTGCTCGCTGGTCAGTCAGACTGTGGTTTCACTGGATGACAGGGGAACCGCTCAGCTCGATCTGCTAGTCAAGGTAGCGAACACACACCTTTTTTTTCCCTCTGTCTGAAACTGTAAAGAGATTTTTGTAATGCCAACTCTGTCAAATTTCAGGGCTTCAGACGCCAGTCATCCCTCCTGTTCAAAATTCTGTCGAGCGTCAGGAACCATCAGATAAACTCTGATCTGGCTCAGCTGTTGCTGCGACTGGACTACAACAAATACTACACCCAAGCTGGAGGCACACTGGGCAGGTAGGACATCATCTATAGCACATGTCCAGGTGCAGAAAATTCAACAGACGGTCATCATGTACCACGGTTAATCTAAAATATATACTTCCTGCTTTTTTCAGTGTTTAAGAAGAGCGCACAGGAAGTTATTTAACCTGCAGAAGAGACTCCCATCAGTGTTCCCCACCGGCTTCACCGAATCTTTGAACAGCCAAATTACAATGATCACTTTCACTGTAGTAATACTGAACTGAGTGAGTTTGTTTTACATGCAGAGATGATCAAACTGCTCTGAAGTTAACATGAGAAGCAAGAAAAATGAACGTCGCTCTTTTTGTAGAGCTCACTGCATCAAAAAAGACATTTACATGTAAGAGAAAGTCTTAACTTGAGTGGAAGTAGTTCAGTGTGACCCAAACAACCAAAGGAAAAGTCAGTTTGTTCCCTTTGTCGATGAGATCGTGGAGAACAGTCTGATCTTTGTTTGATAAAACTGTAGAATTGATGTAAAAGATGAGATTGTGACATCACCTGGTTTCTGGATTTGAAATGACCACATACCATATGTATCATATATCTGATCTCTGTAAATGCGTGTAGCCATGGCGACACTTTGCTATGCATCTATTCTAATTGACAGATTAGCATCCTACACTGGCAGCTGTCAATCTGTATGTTTAGCTTGGCCTAAAGCACAGACATGGATTCAATGTGCAGCCTGTCATCGAACTACGCTGGATCATGGAGGCAGAGCTCACAGAAGCACTGCTGGATGTAACGTGGGCGAATCCTCCCTTTGACTCTTGTATAAACTGTAAATATTAACGGCTTGTTGCGTGTACCATTTTGTGTGGAGAAAATAAACATCAATGCATTAAAATGAAACAAGGGTCACAATTTATTATCTCATAAAAACGGACAGGATCAAGTTATATACAGCAGAAGCATGCAACAGAACTAACGCTCAACATTTAGCTTGGTCAAAGGCATTTTGCACGTGGGGTCAGATTATGAGGACGAGGAGGACGAGGAATAGTCGTGGCAAAACTGAGGCTTGCAATCGAAAGCCAGGCGCTCCCCGCAGATGAGACTCTGGATGAGCCACTCCGGAGACACCAGCGGGATTTCCTGTGATGTTGCGCTTTTCTCGAGCAGCGGCGGACAGGCATGGTCTGTCACCACGAGGTCATACTTGCCAGCAGGAATGTCTAAGGATGGAGCAGGAAAGTGAACGGATTAGTTTCAGCACAGCAGCGAGACAGGGTGCATTGTTTGGACATCACTGTGTGGATCCTGTACCAGAGTTGTCTTTGTCTGCTTGGAGCTGCCGGATGGAGGAGCCTCCACCCATGGTAATCAGCTGGGCCCAGAGTTCCACCGGCTTCTCAAACACCAGAAGAGCCCGCAGGCCTTTGAAGGGGCTGCAGCGAGGATGCCTGAGAGACAAACAGAAAAGATCAGAGAGAACAAACTGTGACTTATAAACAAGAACACTTTACCAAAGTACCATCATAAAACAAAGTCACAGCAGATGACATCACTTAAGACTGACATCACTGAATCAGCTGGAATTCTTACACCTCTGACCTCGTGAGGACGAGGAACAGTAGGAGAAACCAGGATTTTATCAGCACGTTTTCACACTGGTTTCCATTCTGAAGTAACATCCACCTGTTACATTGTAGCAGACGAGACTTTTCCCCCCTAATGAGCTGAAATCTGCCACTTTACTCACAAGGAAAGACGTTTATTAGAAGAGCAGGGATCAGCCATGTGATCCGTTTCATTTATTATACAAACAGGTCAAATGACGAGGTGGGTGGAGCTTGATTTTGCCTTTGAGTGTCAATTCCAATAAAGATTTTTCAAAAGAAGATGGTCGTTTGACTTCTACGCTGGTGTTCATTTGGACCAAGTCTGAATGCAAACTGCACTGCTGGCTTCATCAGTAAACTTACAGCATTTGGTGCCCACACTCGTGTTGTTTGGGGTGGCTGTAGCTCAGGCGGGAGAGCAGGTCATCTACTGATCAGAAGGTTGGTGGTTCGATTCCTGGCTTCCCCTAGTCTGAATGCCAAATATCCTTGGGCACAATACTAACCCCAAATTGCTCTCCGATGCATGTGTGAATGTGTGTGAATGTTAGTTAGAAAGCACTTAGAAGATGTGTGTGAATGGGTGAATGCACAAGTTGTGTAAAGTGCTCAGAAGAGTAGACAAAGCGCTATATAAGAACCAGTCCATTTACCATTTGGTTGTTTGTTGACTTTCATGTTCCCCCAATAAAAACAAATCTTTGGATGTGATGTGCAGCAGATGTGCTACATTTCATATGGAACCTTTTATTTTTGCACCGTACCGATAAACAAATCCCAAACATAAAGCAGCCTCTCACCACTCCACTATGGCATCGTCCAGCCCCACGCCGGCAGGCAGCAGGTAGTTCCTGTAGTTGAGCAGTTTGTTTTCTTTGCAGCAGTCTCTCACCCATATGTGCGACACACACGGCACGCCGCTGGCTAAACACAGCAGGTACTTCCTGGTACGGCAGTGCTGGTCCGCGATGAGCAGGCTCTGGTAAGCTGCCTTACACTGAAAAGGCAATCAAACACACACTCATTTACTGCACTGCTTCAGACTTTAGGTGATGTTTGTTACCACGGAGAAGACAAAGGGCACATGACCAGCCACTAATATTGCTTTGGTGAATACAGCCTGGAGCAGATATGTGTAACATAAACATATCTGTGCGATCACAGGCACATGCTAGTGTTTTCATTACTTACCTGTTCTTCATT